GCATCACTCAATTTTAGCAAAAATATTGCTAAAGAATCCCCATCATTGATAGCTGATCACCCTCAATACTCATAGCCCACCCTTGGCATTTAATCACCCTGGTCTCTCTTCAGTAAGAATTTTGACTAGTCAGTTCAGGCAGAATTCTCCCTTCTTTGATGTTTCCTCCTAGTAATTTTCCATCCACAGACCCCCACTCTACGCTTGGCTATAAAAATGGTCATCAATAAAACAAACAACAACAGATGCCGGCGAGGATGCAGAGAAAAAGGAATGCTTCTATACTGCTGGTGGGGATGCCAACTAGTGCAACTTCTTTGGAAGACAGTGTGGTGGTATCTGAAAGAACTAGAAATTGACCTTCCATATGACCCAGCAACTCCCCTATTGGGAATATACCTGGAGGAACTCAAATCATTCTACCAAAAAGATACCTGCACACGTATGTTTGTTGCAGCCCTATTCACAATAGCAAAAACATGGAACCAACCATGCTGCCCATTGAAACTGGACTGGATACAAAAAAATATGGTAAATATACACGATGGAATATTACACAGCCATAAAGAAGGACAAACATATGGACTTAGCAGCAACTTGGATGGCTTTAGGGTTGATCATACTCAGTGATCTATCACAGAAACAAAGAAGAGTTCTAGATGTTCTCACTCATAAGCGGACCTTGAATGATTATTGTCATACTATAAGAAAGGAATTGACAGTAGAGGGAAACTGCCAGGGAAGGGAGGTGGAATTGGCAGTTGAGAGAAACTGCTAGGAGAGGGAGGGGCACATCTCCGCAACAAGGGTACCTGCATAATCAACGTTTGTATACTTAACCCTGAATTGTACACCACATCGTTAAAATAAAATTTTAAAAAGTAAAAAAAAAAACCAAAACTTCCTATTACCTATTCTATATTCAGAATTGTGTCCAGTACCAAGGACTCTTTTCCCCTGTTGCAATTGTCCTGAATAAAATCTGCTTTTACTGCTTTATTTTCTTTGACAGGAATTATTATTTTTTGTTGTAAAGAATTATAACTCTGAAATCATAATGCTCAGCAATTGTTTTGTTTTTCTTCAGTTTTCAGTGTTCTTTCATAACCATTTCATTTTTATTCTCAAAGTAGTACTCAAAATAATCAAAACAAGCATGTTTTCCCTTCCTTCCAGTCTACAAAATTGAGATGTAGATAGTCTAATGTCCAAGAAAATGAGTGCTGAAGCCAACGTTTCCTAAGTTCTAACTCTGGACTCCTTCCACCGGGACAGAGATACTTCTCTAGAAGTTGTGAATCACAATGTCATCAACCATGGTCTTAGAAGACAAAATAATTCTAATATGTCATGCTTTTGAAGCAAACTTTGTGCACAGCAATAAATTACATAATATGATATAGAAGTATGGAAGAATATCACAAAAATGTGGAATTTGAGAGGTCTATAAAGAGGCAAAAAAACAAGTTCAGGCTGGTTTCTAGGTTTACAGAGACTCCTGGATCTGCAACCTGATAATCACATGACTTTGAAAAAGAAAATATACGCAAGTAACTGAGACTTTTAATATAAAATGTCTGCCTCATTGCTTGCCATATGGTAGAAACTCAGACAAATTCTTCACTTTCCTTCATCAAGGAAGACATGTTCTTTGCTTTAATTTGTCAGCTGCAAAACTAGGTTTTAGCATCTGCTTTTTTGCATTAATGATTTTTTAAATGTTATTTAAACAAAAAGGACAATGTAGAGATTTAAAAGAATATGCTATCAAATTCCAATATACACATATGTAATATAAATACTAATGTTATAATTCAGATTATGCAAGGAGAGATAGGTCAACGTGTTTTGGTGCGTCAAAACTGTAAATGCAATAATTAAGTTTCACCCTGCTCTGAAATTATATGATTTATTGTGAATGGGAGAAAAGGGAAAACTCTTTACACCACCTCTTCTTTCTAGAATATTACCTATGATTCCAAAATTCTGGACAACATTTACGAGTGGTGATAGAGGAGGGGAAATTTTTTATAAAAACTCATGTTCCCAGGTAAGACATTCTCCTGTCCCCTCCTCTACACCTGCAGAAGCAGGGAGTGGGTGGGAAGATGCCTCTCCAGGGAAGGCGAATCTTCTGCATTCTCAGTCTACCTCTTGCTTACTCAGGGATGGATTAGTTAACTGACTACTCCTGGGTCTGTCTCTAGTTAGATCTTTCTGTCTACTTTTGACAGAATGCTTGCTCTTGGGTATGAAAATTACATCAATTGGTGCTAAGATTTGAGAAATTCCCTTCTTCCTCTTAGGACTTAAATGTAAATCCTGTTTCCGGCCAAATTACCAGAGAACTTTTTATGTCAATGAGGACATGAGCAAAACTAATTAACAGAGTGGACACATGTTTCTCATTTGCCATATCCCTTGTGCTTAAGCCTCTCAGTAACATCAAGAGTAAGAGTAGAACATTTTGGTGCATATGTGTCCTGGGAATAGGAGAGTATAAGTGAGCATTATTGAGCCCCCTGGCCATGTTACTACCTTAATAATATAATTCAGTCATCATCTTTAACAATCTGATTTTATTTTGAGGAAGGCACAATGGAAATGAAACAAAGTTAACGGGTCAGGATTGGAAAGGTAGGAAGGTCAATAGGGTGGAAATGTTAAAACATGAATTAATCTATACTATTTGGAAGCTCAGACTAATATTTACTAATCAAATTTATAAAATAAATTTTTTTAAATATTCATATAAGTAAATTTATAAGATCTGAAATATAAAACTTAAATAAAGAAGGTTAAGTGGCAATTTTTTTCAAAGAAAACTTAGAAATATCACCAATCCTATCATTATAAATGGAAGTGTGTGTGCCTGAGTGTGTGTGTCAGTGTGTGTTGTGTGTGTGCTTTCTGTTGAGGGTGATGACAAAGTTAAAGTGGATACAGAGCCAATTTCTAACTCTACAAAATGTTTGGTAATAGCTTAAATACTCATGGAAAATCAAGAAACTAAGTTATGAAAAATGGCAAAAATAGAGGTTTTTAACAATTATATACATTTAAAATTGAATGTATGGAGTACCGGGTAAGTTCTAAGCAGAAATTCAAGTCCTTCCATTTGTGTTTGGGTTCACATCAGGTATTGAAAGCAACAAACAATGTCACTTCCATATTAACAATAAAAAAGTAGATTGTGTACAGCATTGTAATTTTCTATGACATTATCAGAGTGCTGAGATCACAAGGCAACCACGTAAACCCTACTCCAAAGAGGAAAAGCCTCTTACAGGAGAAAGAGAGCACACAAACTGCCTTACCTTTGGGAGAACATAGAAGAAAGAGATCACAGTCATATCCATGTACAAGAAAAAAGTCAATTAATATTTTAACTGAGGAACTTATTTTTCTGACTATAGATGTCACCCATAGTGGCCAACTCTAGGACTGGGCCACTTCATGGACTCTCCATGTGGATACACCAACATTCACATTTCTACAAAGTATATTTTACACTATTAGAAACTGTGATATAATGGGAAGATTGTCAATTGCAAAATTCCAAACACTATCCTAACCTAATCTTTCTCATTTTCTCTTCCTTTGAAAATTTCCCAGTGAATTAATTCTGAATCTGTCATCTTGCCAGGTTGCCTGATTATGAAAAATAAAAGACATGATGGAATTCAGCAAGGGAAGGTGTTAATTCTTTGCTTCTCAAACTCAGAAAGCATATGCTCTACACTGAAAATACAATGAATCATCATGGTGAACTATAATTAATTTCCATTTAACTTTTAAAAGTTGATCTCACAGGAACATCTACATTTAAACAATAAAGGCCACTTCCAAAACTTTCTTGATATTTAACATTTTTCAAATCAATGCCTCTCTAAATAACTTCAGCCATTGACTCTATTATTTTATCTTTATATCAATAATGACAGAAGCACTTGAAAGGTTAAAGTTGTTTTGTTTTCACTTTAGGTCAGACTAAACTGGACATGACATGGCTTCCTTGACAATAGGGTTTCCACTGTCACTCAAGCCAGCAAAACCAAACACCTTTTAAAATGTTAAATCTGGCATTTCTAATAAAATGATTACCAAAGAATATTCTGAAAACCAAGTGTGATGAATTTTATACAGGTTTTTGAACATCGACTTGACTATCTAGGTTAACATTCCAGTTCACCACTTATAGTGGAGACCTTGGGTAGGTTACTTGGTTTTTCCAAGACTCAGATCTCTCATCTGCAACATCTGGAAGTTAATAATATTTAAATCATAGATTTGTTGTGAAGAATGGAAAAAGCCTAACCCATTTCAGTATTCAGTTTGGCACAAAGAATAGGCCATCGATGACCATGCAAGGCAAAGTAGGTGGGTGTTAATATTTATCATATCCATTTTGTAGATGCAGAAATGCATCTCAGAAAGTTAAATTATTTAATTAAGGAAGACTGCTTGTAAATAAACAATGACCCAGGTTTAAAATATCTTTTAAATTTTATTATTTTCCTTTATATTAAACTTCATTACTTAAGCCTATAATTCATCTATATATGTTATCTGAATCATAAATGTTTTCATTAAATCCTTTTCAAAACCAGGAGCAATAGCCCTTTGTAAAATAAATGAAACAAATTCATGCAACTTTTAAAAATGTTCCCTAAACTCACTTCTTTGATTGTAAGAAAACTAAAAGTAATCCAAGATAAATCACAACTTTGAATCCAATATATAGTCATCAGATATACTAAGGAAATTAGTTCAACTAATGTTGGTTAATCAAAACAATTCTCCTTCATTTTTTAATATCTTATATGCAATTATTAATCTAAATTATAATTAAAGAACTGAATATACTTGATAAGTGATTACAACAGATAAGGCTGTCCTAATATTTAATAATCACACTTAGAAGAGATACAGGCCAATTAAAACTACATTTTTTTTTCACAACAGGAGATAAAAGAAACCCTGAATGTCAAAACACTTACTGCAGCTTGTCGATGAGTATTGGACAATATTCCATGAATCTTCACTTTGTCTTTTTCCATTTGGTCTATGTTCACCCACAAATCCCGGCTGGCAGAATCAGATGGGCCATATATTCGAGAAATATAGTAATTGTGGTCTGTGTCCTCCTGCAATAATAGAGAATAATGTATGTCAATATAGATATGTTGTCCCTAAAATTCTTTTTAAAAGTCTATTGAACTTAGAAATGTTAGAAGTCTTCAAAATAGCCAAATAATTCAAATAAACTCTAGTGGAAGTGAATTAAGATGAGAAATCTATTCATAAATTTAGTAATTCTCTTTAGAACAATCTGTTAAATATACAAAACTTAGAAGCAAATATCTCTTCTCTGTATAATAGTCTTTTCTGTCACAATAATGCTAGACAGAGATCTAATTGCCATGCAAATAAAAATTTCTTTTTTAGAACTGCTTATTGAAAACCTGAGCCATAATTGCTATTAACAACAAATTCAAATTTTTATTTTTTAAAAATAAGGTTATATCAGGAACTGCTTTTGGTTAATGGTCCTAGAAATGGAGAGTTGTTTTTTTTTTTTTAATTTGGGTTATTAAATTCTACTTTTATTTGAATTCTCATTATTGGTATGACCATGGTGCCTGTCTTAACACCTCTGTCAAGTTTCCCACTCAGTGAAGAGATTTAAATGTTTTAAAAGGCAATTTTAATGAGGAACATCTAGAAAAATCATCAAGCCGGGCTTGGTGGCTCAGCCTGTAATCCCGTGCCTTTGGGAGGCTGAGGTGAGTGAATTGCCTGAGCCCCCGGGTTCGAGACCCACCTGGGCAGCGAGACCTCATCTCTACAATAAATCAAAAAATCAGCCGGGCATGGTAGCGCATGCCTGTAATTCTGGCTACTTGGAAGGCTGAGGCGGAAGGATCACAGGAGCCCAGCAGGTGAGGCTGCGGTGGCCGGGAGTGGCCACTGCACTCCAGTCTGGGTGACAGAGTGAGACTCCAACTCAAAAAAAAAAAGAAAAATCATCAAATTCTTGGCTAATTCTGATTGTAGTATTTTTAACCATGATATGAAATTGTGCTTATCAATGTGAGGAATCACCAAATAAATATATTTTAAAACATTCGGGTAAATGTAAGAAAAATGTTAAATAAATAGAAGGTATATGATTTGAATAATAATGTTCAAGATGTATATTTTGCCTAATTCATTTATTATCTAAGTACTAATAAAATAAAATGATATAATTATTAAATATAGTCAAAACAAGACTCCAATACACTTTTTCACAAATATATCTATATCTAAAGTTGGTTCCAGAAGGGAAAATAATGTCCTCAGCGGTTATCTACATAGATTTTTGCCTCACAACTAAAAGAAAATAACCTAAAATCTAAATGCTGAGACCAGTGATTAAACGTTAACAGTAAGTTTGTTTGCTTTTTCTCAATAAAGTTCCTAGTAATACCTCCAACTAAATGCTGAGTATCAATACAAATTATGTTAACACCTTCGGAAAGAAGAGAAAGGTCTGCTGAGAAGAAAAAAGTGAAAGAAAAAAGAAAAAGAAAAAGAAAAATGCGGGAATAATACACAGCCCAAGAGGACTGGTATCCTACTGGGTTTCCAGTCCTCCCTTTCAGAACCTCAGGACACTGACTATTTGGGTTCTGAGAGGGGAAAACACATTGTGGTTGGGTCTCCAACATGTATTTAACTCCTTCTAGCCGACTCCTGCTTCATCAGAGGTAGGTGCCTTCCTTCACGCTGAGCACAATTATTTTGCTCATGTCATTACACTGGCCATAGTAGTTGGTGGCCATGCATGAGCACATAACCTAAGAAGGACCAATTAATGAGACGTCTAGGAGTTTAGGTAGAGAGGTGGTAATTTCTCTTGTTCTGAAGGTTGAGATTGGTAGGTATGAGACTCGGGTTACTGATTCCATTTTGCTTCCATGGGAGGTAAAGACAAGCACATAGATAAGGACAAAACCACAAACACTGCAAAGAAACATCCAGACCCCTGATCAAGTGTACATAAGCGTGACCTACTGCTGGACTTGTTCACTTTGATGAACCATTAAATCTCTTTTTTTGTTAAATCACCTTGAGTTAGGTTATGGTTAACCAAAGGAATCCTAATTGGAAAAAACAGGTTTCTAAGACTTGCAACTCAACTTAAGCAACATTGAATGAGGCAATAGTCACAGATTTATGGATATGGATAACAAACAGGACGCTTCCAATTCTGATATTCTAGATAATTACACAGCAGGAATGGAAGCTTGCATCTAACCTGCTAGAAATCATCATATATGCATCTAACCTGCTAGAAATCATCATGTATGAATAGCAAATGATAATGAAAGACTGGCTTTGAAGAAAACATAGAATGAGTGTAAATAAAAATTAAAAAATTTTAAGTCCCTATTGTTAGTATTATTATAAAGAGTTCAGCAACATTGAAATTAAGGAATTTTTTTTTTTTTTGAAACAGAGTCCTTGCTCTGTCACCCAGGCTGGAGTCCAGTGATGCAATCATAGCTCACTGCAGCCTCAAATTCTTGGGCTTGCAATCCTCTCACCTCAGCCTCCTAAGTAGCTAAGAATACAGGTGTGCACCACCAGACTTGGCTATATTTTTTTTAATTGTTTTTTGTAGAGACAGGTACTCACTATGTATAAGATTGATCTTGAACTACTGGTCTCAAACCATCCTTCCTCCTTGGCCTCCCAAAGCACTGGAATTACAGGTGTGAGCCACCGCACCATAATAGAGTTCAGTACAATCACTGAAGTCAACATTTGTAAAATAACTTTGGTATTTTCTTTAATCCCTGAATTACAGTAATTAGTTAAGAAATAGACTTGACGTTTTCAGAAATAACAAGAATATTATTGTACTTAAGTAATAATCATCTTAAAAATATATACATACTTTTGTTTAATAGCAAAGTACTGCACTGGTAGGGCTAGGGGAAAATACACCTTCATTTTTCCTTAAATCAGAATGGCCGAAAACAATATCTCATCTTTGAAAATACTAGAGCTTAGTATTTGACTTTTATAGTCCATGCATGCCAAGTTGTCATGGCAACTTTTACTTAAAGAAGAAGACAATTTGTTGTTTACTTAGGAATGCAGAGACACAAATTGTTAAATCCAGAGAGGTGTTTGGCTCAGGTACTCAGGAAAGCCATAAAATAGATGTTTCAGAAATGTGACATTTTAGCACTACTAAATTATTCAGACCACGTCTTATTCTTTTTTAGGAGTAATGGTAATCAAAGAGTTGTCAAAAGCTACTTCAGGTACAAAGATTTTCATTTTCTGTTCCAAAGCAAACGATTTCTAACACCATAGAAAATAAAACAAAATACTACTGAGATCTGCCTAGTTGCCAATTCATTTAGGAAACAAACTGTTACTGAAAGTAGATGGGACAGTGGTTGGCTATAAACCTTATAAATCCAGGTTTCTCAAAAATGCTTGGAAATGTGCAGCTACACACAAACAGAAGACATACACCAAAAATATGGAGTAAAAGTCATTATAACTGCAGCTTAGTCATTCTGTAACAATCAGTATATCGTTCCTAACTCAAATGTTGCCTTCTTTCCTATCAGGGGTGTTAAGTTGATTTTATGGTGGATAATTTTTGCAAGTGTCTCATATTTGCTTATGCAGCAACAACATTTGAACTCCATTCTCTTCTTTGAGAAATGAGAAAAAATTATCAAGAACATGCTGCATGACCATCACTGAGCTAGTCATTTTGATATCCACAGATACATAAAATATAATCCAAGTTCTTAAATAAGGTTATTTATCATTGACGGGATTGGCCACCTCTAGAAGATTGCTTCATAATAAATAAAGGAATATTATATTTTAAATGTTCTTATCAGGGATTAATAAATATATTACATTCTTATAAGAATTTTTTTACAAGGACTATACAGTTCATTTAAAGGTAAAGCTTTTTGAAGATATTATTTGAGAGTATTATACTCCTTCAAAAACAGAGTTTAAAAAATAGCTCTCTGTGATCTAAAATATATAATGTGGATCTAAGAAACAAAAAGGACATGATAAAATAACAAAAAGAGAAAAAGAGTGAACTGATAGTACTCCAGTAAGAAATTTCAGCAATGAACCTATTAGTAGCAGAATAAATGTGACTGAATTACTAATCAGAACACAGTTGTGAGAAACATGCAACATGAAATTGTAAAGGGCAAGGATATAATGTTTAAGATAAATGTTATGGATTGAATGTTTGTGTCCCCTGCCCAAAAATGTATAAATTGAAGTCCCAACCCTCAAAGTGCCTGTATGTGGAGACTGGGTCTTTATGGAGGTAAATTAAGGTCAAACCATGTCATAATAGTGGGGCCCTCATTCAATTGCATTAAAGATCTTAAAAGAAGAGACATGAGATTCATCTTCCCTCTCTCCCCATTTCCCTCTCGCTCTCTCGCTCCCTCTCTTTCCCTCTCCCCCCCCCCACAACATGTGAGGACACAGTAAGAGGGCAGCTATCTACAAGCCAGGAGGAGAGCCCTCATCAAGAACACATTCAGCTGGCACCTCGATCTGGGACTAATAGCTTCCAGAACTATGAGAAAATACATTTCTGTTGTTTAAGCTACTTTGTCCATGGTATTTTGTTATGGTATCCCAAGCTGACAAGATAATAGATCAACATATAAATTATAGAAAAAAACCCAGATCAAATACATATGTAGTTAGCTAGAAAAATTATTAGAAATAATACTTTTCTGAGATTAAAGATTTGCATTTGCACACCACGTCTCAAGAAAATTTGCAACAGAATTCTGAGTATTGTAAAATTTCCTGGTGAGATATTTTTCCATAGAATAAAAAAAAAGCATCTAGAAAGACAAATCAAGTTACCTCTATGGAGGAGAAAACATTAGGTAGGCCGATATTTCTCCATTATGTACAGCAGAAATAAGGTCTACATAAATTCAGAGACGTTGTGACTCAAGATTTTTTTGCCCAACCACCATATAAAATAAGCATAAAGGCAACAAAAATATTTATTTTTTTAAATTATTTTTTTGTAGAGATGGGATCTCACTACATTGCCCAGGCTGGTCTTGAATTCCTGACCTCA